AGTCCAGCATCCTGTCTCACGCAGTGGCCAACCAGTTCCTCTGGATGGCCAACAACAGGTCATAGAGGCTGAGGCCTTCCCCTGATGTTGCCTCCTGGCTCAGGGATTCAGAGGATTAGTGCCTCTGAATGTGGAAGCTCCCCTCAGTCACCATGACTAGTAGCCATTGATAAAGTTCTCTTCCATGAATCTATCTAATCCCCTTTTAAAGCTGTTTATTCCTGTGACCATCACAACATCCTCTGGCAGTGAATTCCACATTGTAATCACTTTCTGTCTGTGATACTGGCTAATTAAGATTGGTTACACTTGACTGTTTCTTCTGTAATTGCAATGATCTGAGCTAGCCTGGGTCGTCCAGGTCACAGCCAGATGGTACAGCTGAACTTAAGGTTCTATAGTTAGTATTGCCCAAGTGCATATGAGGACAGTGTGTTCAGTTACAAATCATATAAAAATCATCCGGCATAGGGAAATCACTTGGGGAAATGGTCAAAATTAGCTTCGAGTGCTTACCTTTCATTTGATTTTGACAGGTGAGAATCATATTGGAGGGCAGAAACACTTTTACTTGGAAACAAACTGTACTGTTGCGATTCCAAGAAAAGAGGACAACGAAATGGATATCCATGTGGCTACCCAGGATGCTTCAAGTGTACAGGTAACTCAGGCCTTTGATTGCCACTGTCACGGTTTCCACAGCAACAGTAGCTACTGTCTACCTACGCCACCAGCAAAAAGAAGTAATGGATTTATTTTATTTATTTTATTTTATTGCATTTTTTAATCACGTAATCCCCACGAATGTAGGGCTCTAGGCGATGCACAGATGTAAAAACCATAAAACCATTGTCAGAACATATAATTCATTAATTAAAACCAAGTGGCAAAATGTGTGGTTCCCTCCCGTTTCTGGCCTGTGGGTGCTTTATGGCCACGGCGGGGGGGGGCCTTCAAGGGATAGGGATCCAGAAAGGGTGCCAGTCATGATATAACCCATTGTTGTCCTCAACCAAATGGCCGGTGCAACATCCCCCCCCCCAATATGTAATTAGCTCACACTACCATATCCAATGAAAGAGAAGGATACTACCTATCAAAGTACTGTCAGGGACTACTGTTTTGCTGACAGTCAGTACTGGTTTGCTGCCAGTTCTTCATTTCCAACACGGTAAAGAGCCCACCCATTCAAATATATTACAGGGTTGATGCAGGTCCCGTATAATAAGTTGCTCCCCCAGAATGTTAAGAGAGTTAACATTGCTCATGGTGTGTTAACTCAGCCTGATATCGTTTCTAATCACTATTTCTCCCCAGCATTGTTTGCCTTTCAAAAACCCAGAAAATCTATATGACGATAAGCAACAGTAGGACACCATGTGCTCTAGCATCTTCATATAGTGCTCACATAAAACTGCTATGTAAACACACTAACAGACCTGCGGGGCTGGTTCCAGATTTTGGGGGATTTCCTCAGGGAACCCGGTAGGGAAGGTTGAGGAGAGTATGCTGACCTGTCCTTGTAGCAGTTCCATTGACTAGCTGTTGGAGGCCTTGGTGATGCTCTAGATTGCCTCTTCGCAAAATGATCTTTACCATAGAGACTAGGAGGGGAGGTTCCTAGAGCGTCACTGTTGAGGTGGCCATTTTTCCCCTGCCACTAATCTCTTGAGAGTTGGGAAGTAGGGCCCAGAAGTGGACATGCGCCCAGCCCACTGTCAGTGGGCAAATGTGAGTCCAAAGTGCCACTGAAAGAAGAGAACGGATAGAGAGTGATGTTATCCCTTCCTCCTCCGCACTGCAGTGCCTTAACCTGCACAGCTGTTTCTCTGTGCAAGTCGCACAACCCCAGGTATTATCTTTCATGGAATCCAAAGGAATTTCTGTAGTGGAGAGGAACACACACAAAAAACCTCCTCTGTACTCTTAGTGCCTGCATGGTATGCTGATATAGGGTGGAGTGCGTGGGTACAGAAATGCAATTTTGTATTTACAGCATTGTTTTAATGCTGCTGTGGCTCAAAGGTTAAGACACTGAGCTGCAGACCAGAAGGTCAATAGTTCGGCAGTTCAAGACCCGAGTGCCGCGTGACAGAGTGAGCTCCCATCTCTGGTCCCAGCTCCTGCCAACGTAGCAGTTAGAAAGCAAGAAATTGCAAGTAGATAAATAGGTACTGCTTTGGTGGGAAGGTAACAGTGTTCCGTGCGCCTCGGCATCTAGTCATGCTGGCCACATGACCACGGAGACGTCTTCGGACAGCGCTGGCTCTTCAGCATGGACATGGAGAATGAGCACCGCCCCTACAGTCAGATTTGACTGGCTTTTGAACAAGGGAAACCTTTACCTTTACTTTAAATTAAAACCCTGGGCCCAAAAAGAACTCTGAGAGGGGTCAACATTTATGTACTGGGAACTGAAAATAAAGGAACTGGCCTGAGTGTAATATCCTGCTTTTCCATTTCTTACAGCAATTAGTGGCTACAACGTTGGGTGTCCAGTCCAGCAGGATCAGGTGCCACACAACACGAGTGGGTGGAGCTTTTGGAGGGAAATGTACCAAACCTCCATTTTTTGCAAGTGCAGCAGCCGTGGCAGCACACAAGTAAGAGCTCTGATTGGCCGCGATCTTAAAAAGCGTCTGATGCCTTCTTCGGACTTCTGGATTTAGGGGGTGGGGAAAGGACCATAGGGTCGTTTGTGCCCTCACACATAGAAATCTCCCCATGGCCCCCTCCTGTCCCTAGTTTCTTTGTTTATTTATTTATACATTGAATTTATTAATCGCCCAGTCCCTGCTATTGCAAGGCTCTGGGTGATGTACAGTATCCATAAAAACAGAGTAAGATTAAAAACAATTTAAAAACATAAATAACATGTTTCAGAAAAGGATCTGATGGAAAATACTGATCAATCCAATTTCAGGCTGCTGGCTACTTCGGGGAGGGGGGGAGAACGCAAATATTAACAGCAGAAGGAACAAAAAAGGGTGCCAGCCAAGATGGAAACTGTCACTGTCCTCAACCAAAAGCCCGGCGGAACATCTCCACCTTAGAGGTGCTGCGGAATTGCATGAGATCCTGCAGGGCCCCGATGGTATTTGGCAGAGAGTTCCAACAGGTTGGGGCCAAGACCAAAAAGGCCCCAGCCCTGGTCGAGGACAGCCGGATGTCTTTGTGGCCGGGGACCACCAGCAGGTTGTTGTCTGAGGAATGTAACGCTATTCCAGGGACATGACAAAGGAGACAATCCCGTACTTGGTCATGGTTCTACAACTGGTATGATAAACATATGTAGACAAGCTTGCAAGAGACAGACTAAGAGTTTACTAAATGAAATATATACCTGTTAGGATGATAGACAGAAAAGTTGCTTACACAGTTCATGAGAAATTGTTATTAAGGTGGATTAGGCATCAGTATTAGTAAGAATGAAAATAACCCCCATGTATCTGTTTGTACGCTAGTATGTATGTATATGTTATGTTTGTTTGTGTATGTTATGTGAAAAATTTAATAAAACTCTGCCCCTTTGGGGGTAGTTATATACATATAAAAAAGAGACAATCCCGTAGATAAGTCGGTCCTTGACCGCTCAAGGCCTTATAGGTCAATACCAAAAGCTTGAACTTGACTCGGTATTCCACTGGGAGCCAGTGTAGCTGGCGCAGCACCAGATGTATATGTGCCATCCATGACGTTCCCGTCAGGACTCGCACTGCTGCATTCTAGATCAATTGGAGTTGTTGAGACAGACTGCTGCAGGACTCTGACACCATTGCACTGCTGCCCCTGTCCAGATTGCCCCTCCCTCCGTGGCTGCTGGAAATGACGCAGGGTGGGGATTTAAATTTGCATTTTGAAAGGAGGACGTGACCTTACAGGAAGGGGGCGGGTTTGGGGTAAGTGACCAGGAACTGACATCACAATATACATCATTTAAGCTTTGACCTAGAAGTAGTGTCACAGGACATGACATCACAAAATGACATCCCATTCTTGCTGAGCTCAGCCCCCCAAATTTGCAGGTATTTCCCGAGTCATACCTTGCAACCCTAATTGCCAGCCAGGTAAAAATGAAGCCAGGCCAGTTCTTAAATGCTAAACTGTTGTTCTGTGAGTAGCAATTTTTCTTATTCTAAAATAAAATTAACTTAAGGATGCAGAAACGGGTTAGAACCTGTATGGAAAGTTATTAGATAGATACAGGTTTAGATATAGATACAAGTCATCTTGTCATCTTCTGGGCGTGGGGAACAGCGGTCGCTGGGGGTGGGGTGGGGAGGTATTTGTGAATTTCCTGTATTGTGCAGGGGATCAGACTAGATGACCCCTTCCAACTCTATGGTTCTATGGTTCTATGATTCTAAGTGATTTCCACATGGAAATGGGTTTGTGTGGTTTCTCTGTTGCTGGTGCAGCGGCAAATAAAGCACAGCTTCCACGTGGCAGGTTTCCCCACAGTATCCTTGTCCCAGTTTCCCAGCAGCAGCCACTGCCCGTCCCCTGGGCCTCCACGACTTCTGCAATTTTTTTAAGCCTTGGGCAGAAGGAGGAGGACCTTGGTGAGCAGCCCCCTTCTTCTGATTTCGGCCATGGGAGGAAGAGGCAGACTGGCCTGAGGTCAGGCCAACCATGGATGCAGGGGCTGCCAAACCCCACAAGATCCCCAATGGCCATAACAAGTAAATGTAATAAAAACACATACAGTGCAAACTCTGCATG